TATCTATCTATCTATCTATCTATCTATCTATCTATCTATCTATCTATATGTATATACTATGTGTATGTATATATACATATAATATATGTATATACTATGTATAGCAAGAACTTTTTGCTTCTTTAAAAACACAGAAATGCTATGGGATTATGTTTCAGTCCCAGGTGTGGGATATGGGGCTGCTTCAGATTGTCCACAGCAGCTTATGAATTTTGCTAGCTGCAGAGAGTTTCTGCAAGAGTATGACAGTTGGAATTCTGGGGCTCTTGAGAGGGTATATAAATGCTGGAGCCCTGAGAGGGGCCCCTTGGTGGCTGCTCCTGCTACTGCTGCTGCTGTATTTTGCACAGAGAGGAGAAGAAATTGAATATCCTGACAGTGAAGACCAAACATGCCCCAAAGAACTTGACACCACTAATCAGCAGAAAGTAGTCTGACGATAACGTCTCCTTTCCCCTCTCTCCTTCTTTCCTAGGGGTTGGAAGGGTGGAATAAGGGTGGAAAAGGGTAAGGAACTCACAAAGTAGCAAACACTGACTACAGCTATGTGGATGGATGCTTGCTTAACGTGTGTGTCTGTGTATCACGTGTGTGCCTGGTACACCTTGGAGGCCAGATAGGGACAACAGGTCCCTCTGGAACTGGAGTTGCAGATGGTTGTGACACATCGTGAGGGTGCTGGGAATTGAGCCCTGGCCCTCTTGAAGAGCAGCTAGTTCTCTTAACGGTTGAGCTGTCTCTCCAGCCCAACAGCCTTTCTTACCCTATCATTGGCTGTGTGGAAGGACTGTTCTTGCAGTTCATCAGGAGAGGTCCACTATGAGTCAGTGGGCCAGCACAGAATTATGCAAAGTTTTCTGAACTGCCTACGGTATAAAACAACTTTCAGCATCCTGGGGGGTTCACACCCATAGGTTAGAAATTAGCACTGTTATCAGGTGGTCAGCTGTGGCTGTGCTGGTCGGCATTGCCTGGGGATGCTAGCTAGCACTTGACTCTTCTGACGCCTTTCTAAAATTCTACGAGCTTTTTGAGAGGAGGTCTCCTGTAGCCCAGGCTGGCATCCAGTTTGACAGCAGAGGATAATCTTGAACACCGGTTCCGGCTCCGCTACTAAGTACGAACTACTCGGAAGCCTTGTCCAGCCACGGCAGGAAGAAGTTGTGCACAGGACAATGGAACTGTGGGCCACAAATCCAGAAAGCCGTGTTTCTGAGGTATCGGATGCTGCCTTGTGGTCAGAAAGGGACCGATAAGCACAACGGTGGCAAGCAGTAATAACTTACTGGGGACAGTTTAGAAAGTGCTTCCTACAAGGCATGGCCGCGTACACCATTTATCCCAGCATTCGGGCGACAGAGGCGGGTAGCTCTTTGGAGGCCATCGCCATGAAGCCACTGCCAAGAGCTAGGATATGGCTAGCCGCCGTTCAGGCTGCTGTCTCAAAGGAATAGAGACAACTTTTTTCTCCTAACACTAACTCACTGTCACCAAGGGCTGGAGACTGAGAGCCTCCGTGTGGGAGTTCAGCAAGGCTCCTCCCGGAAGCTCGGGGACCTCGCTGCCCACATGCCCCGCCTTTCCTCCTCCATTTCCCGGGGTCTGGTGTGGGTGTAGCCGGGCCAACGGGAGGCCTTCGGGGCAGCGGTGATGACTCAGACTACCGGACACTCCTATGCGCTTCGGCCAGGCCTGTGAGTTCCGAACCATCACCCTGAGCTGGAAGCAAGGCGTGGGGCGATGGGCTGCTCGGGCCGGCTGCTGCTGTGGCTGGGAGCCGCGGGTAAGTGCTGTCCGGTGGTCAGGGGACTAGAGACACATGGGCTTGGGGCCGCTTAGAGACAGACCAGGTTCCAACGGCTCCTTCTAAGGCGGCCCCCGAGCTTCTGGAGGACAGCAAGAAAGGTTCAGAGCGCGTCCAATTCTAAGAACCAGGGGGAGCCTGGGCACTGCCGGGGAGTGAGGACACCCATCTAAACGGAGGAATGGGGTGTGGGGCCTGCCGGGCGCGGCGGAGGCCCCACGTCGCTCAGAGAACCTGGTACATGCAGACACCTTCGCGGGGCTCGGCTGGGTGGTAGGTACCTGGCTCCAGGCTCTGTGGGCACCAGCTGGGTCGCGTTAAGGGTGTGGTTGCAAGCAGGAGACTGCTGAGTGGCTGTCTCGCTCGCTCTTACGGCCCTCCCCTCCCCTTCCGCACCCTCTGACCCCTCTCCCTCCCTGTCACCTTTCAGGAACTATCCTTTGCTCCAACTCGGAGCTCCGGGCACGTTTTTTAACACCCTCACCTCCGCCGGTGCCGGTCCCCAATTCCCAGGGACAGAAAGTCAGCCCCGCGCGCAGTGGCCTGGAGCCAGCTTCCCTCCCTGATCCTCTAGGTGAGCTCCGGGCTCCTCCCTTTCCTCCGCTCAGCACCTCCAGATTCCCAGGCCCCGGGCAGGAGCCCGACTCTTACCTGTCCCCCTGCACCCAGGCGCTCGAGGGCCTTGGCTGTTCACCACGTGTGGCGCCAGCGGCCGGCGGGGACCCACACAAACGCAGTGCGACGGCGCGTACGCAGGCAGCAGCGTGCTGGTGACCGTGGGGGCCGCCGGGCCGCTGGGCGGCGCGCAGCTGTGGCGGGTGCCGGCCACCGGCCAGTACCTGTGAGTGCCGGGGGAGACGGGTGGCGAGCAGGGGCTAGGCCGAGGTCCCGCAGTCCAGTCGCCAACTCTGCGCCCCTCGTCCCGCAGGATCTCTGCCTCCGGGGCGGCGGGCGGCAAAGGCGCCAGGAACCACCTGTCCCGGGCGCACGGCATCTTCCTGTCGGCAGTCTTCCTCCTCCGTCGCGGGGAGCCGCTGTACATCCTTGTGGGCCAGCAGGGCGAGGATGCCTGTCCCGGAGTAAGCGGGGCGCCGGCCTGAGAGCTGGAGGGGGCGCCCTTGGGGGCCTGGACCACCGCCCGGGGAGGACAGGGTCCCCGGTCACGCGCATTTCCACCCAGGGGAGCCCCGAGAGCCAGCTCGTCTGTCTCGGAGAGTCTTGGGCCACCGGAGAGCACGCGACGACCACGAACGGGAGCGACGGGGTCCCAGGCCGGAGACGCTGGGCCGGCGGGGGCGGGGGTGGCGGGGGCGCCACCTACATCTTTCGGGTAGGTGCACCGGGTGCTGGTGGCCTGGACCCCTGGCCGGGCGTTAAGTGCCCCAGACTCCTCTCTCTGTCTGGGTGACCCGGGGGTCAGCCCCCGGGACGCGGCCCTTGACCGGCCCCTGGCCCCGTAGCTGCGCGCGGGGGAGCCGGAGCCGCTGCTGGTGGCGGCGGGAGGCGGCGGGAGGGCCTACTGGAGGCGACCCGACGGAGGCCGGACTCGGGCGGCCCCCGAGAAGCTGGAGAACCGCGGGGCGGCGCCCGGGAGCGGCGGGAGAGGAGGCGCCGCAGGTGAGCGCGCTGGCCCGCGGGGAGGGGCGTGGCGGCGGGCGGGAGGGACGAGGCGGTGGAAAGGGGCGTGGCGTGAAGGGCGTGGCGACTGGAGGGGCGTGGCGGCGGGCAGCTCCGCCCCTCCACTCCCCTTCCCTGCCGTCGCTCCGCAGGTGGCGGGGGCGGCTGGACCTCGCGGGCCGCGTCCCCGCAAGCCGGACGCTCGCTGCGGGAAGGCGCCGAGGGCGGCGAGGGCTGCGCGGAGGCCTGGGCAGCGCTCCGCTGGGCCGCGGCGGGAGGCTTCGGGGGCGGCGGCGGGGCCTGCACGGCGGGCGGCGGCGGCGGAGGCTACCGGGGTAGGTGCGCCCGTGGCCCGGTGACGTGAAGGGAGAGCCTTGAGAACCTGGGCTTCCCGGAGGAGAGATGGGGAATGCCCTGCCCTGCGCTGTGCCAGACCACAGCAGGTGCTCTTAGGGAGGAGGTCAGCCCCGGGCGTGGTGGCACACCCGCCTGCACGTGCGTGCCCGAGGCAGGAGGATTTCAAGTAGCTACTGAGTTGAGTTTGAGGCCAGGCGGGACTACGGACTGTTCTTGTTTTGTCTTTTCCTTTCTTTCTTTCTTTCTTTCTTGTCTGCCTTCCTTCCTTCCTTCCTTTCTTTTTTCCTTCCTTCTTCCTTCCTTCCTTCCTTCCTTCCTTCCTTCCTTCCTTCCTTTCTTTCTTCCTTTCTTCCTTTCTTTCTTTCTCTTTCTTTTTTTTTTTTTTTTTTTTTTTACCCCGGTTTTTTGAGACAGGGTTTCTCTGTGTAGCTTTGGCCATCGTAGACTCCTTTGTAGACCAGGCTGGCCTGGAACTCACAGAGATCCACCTGCCTCTGCCTCCTTGAGTGCTGGGATTACAGGCGTGCAGCACCACATCCCGCTTGTTTTGTTTTTTAAAAAGGGCCGAATTAGCCAAGCTTGGTGGCACATTCCTTTAATCATACTACTCAGGAAGCAGTAACAGGCAGATCTCTGTGAGTTCCAGGCCAGCCAGGACCTCACAATGAAACTCTGGAAAAAAAAAAAAAAAAAAAAAAAGCCCAAATCAATTGCAAATCACACATGCAGTTAAATGGCATTCCCGTTCCAAAACAAATCCTTACTCTTCTTTAACAGTCTAAGGAATTTAGGGCCGGCCTTGTTAGCAAGCTGAGCTGGGAAGGGGAAGGGCAAGGATGGTTTAAGTCAGTAGTTCTCAAAGTGTAGAAGTTGTTAGAAATACAAACTCAGGGTTGGAAGCTGGGAAGATGTTGGTCAAACGTTAAAAAAAAAATTAGATGAAAGGAGTGAATTTAAGTTATCCTTAGTTGAATACGGTAACCCACAATTAATAACAATGGTTTTGGTTCTGTCAGTGCAGGGGATAAAACCCAGCCGGTGGGTTGAACCCTGGGCCTTGAGTATGCTAGAGAAGGGCTCTACCCCTAAGCTGCATCCCTAGTCCCAGTAACAACATCGCTAAGGTAACAGATCTGAGGTGTTCTACAATGAATGAAATGGTACATAGGTCTGTTGGCTTAAATGATTGTGTAATGCATGTACATTTCAAAGTATCATATACAGGATGTACACAAATCTTATTTGTTAATAAAAATTAATTGCTATGATTAACTTTCAAGAGAAATGCGTGGCCAGTCTCCGGAATCCATGACTCCAGGGGAGGGTACTGGCCATCTGTTTTAATTGGCCCTCGGAGGCTCTAGAGTTCGGGGACACTGATGTGAAGAATTAGAATCTCATCTGTCAGGACTGGACTGTTCATAAATATTTTATGGCATGCCTCTTTGTTCAGACAGAAATGGAATTTGTGGGCTGAACTCTCATTTCACAGCTCAGGATGTGGCCTGGAGGGGCTATGACAGAGAAGGGGGGTCTCAGCCAGGCTAAGCTAGGTCTTTGGGTTCCAGCAGAACAGCCAGCCCCCACTTCTCTACCCCCTCAGCAGCTGTCCGGCAGTGTCATTGCAGAGAAGGCCACACAGGACTTATAATGGGAGGCCTCAGCTTTCCTGCCGTTCCTAAGCCAGCTTCCCAACTGCATGGCAGCTGTGTGCTCTCCTCCAGCCCCACTTCCCACTTTTGTGCTTAAACCCCCATCACTCTCTATTTCAAGGTGGCGACACTTCTGAGTCTGACATCCTCTGGGCCAATGGGGAAGATGGCATATCCTTTGTACACCCGAGTAGCGAGCTCTACCTACAGCCTCTGGCAGGTAAGTGCCCCAAACCCCTCCCTCTCAGCCTGGTCAGCCATCCTCTGAATCCCTGGGCCCACAACCATAGTTACGAGATACCCAGTACTTTAACGGCACAGGAACATTTGAGAAGTACCTGCAAGTCGTGATTCTAGCATCCTAGACTGCTAGTCAAGTATCCTTGCTGCAAATTCTCTCCAGATACCCCAGGGCTCAAGTGTCCCACAAGATGTAAGGTACAGGCTTGACTGAAGGCCCCAGGCTGGGCCAGCAAGGTGGCTTGGCTGGTAAAACCCTTACCTCTCAAGTCCGATAAGCCGAGTTTGTTGCTCAGGATCCACAGTGGAAGGAGAAGACTGAATTCTGACTTGTACAATCATGTGCATGGACGCCTCTCTGTCTCGGAATAAAATTGACCGACAAAAAAGAAGCCCCCAAGCTCTGTTGTCACCCTGTGTGTTGGTGTGACTGGGACCAGTGCTTACCTTACAACTCCTGACCAGAATTAACCGTGCTGCTGCCAAGTCCTGCCCGTCCCATTCCCATCCCCCTTTCCCACTCGGCGCATCTCTTCTTTCACTCGCAGTCACAGAGGGCCATGGGGAGGTGGGGATCCGAAAGCACCCCAGCTGCAGTCACTGCCCTCTCAAAGACTGCCAGCGGCGGGCGGAGCTCCAGATGGCTGAATGCACATGCCCAGAGGGCATGGAGCTGGCCGAGGATAATGTCACTTGCCTGGGTATGTCTTGCCTTTGCCCTGAATCTGACTGCTGGGTCCCAGGCGGGTGTGAGGAATAGGGCGCCGGGAAAGACAACGTAGAGGCCTGTTGTGTGCCAGGCGCTGTGTGGAGGGCTGCGCAGAGGGCTGCCAATACAGCAGGGCACAGTCTGCTGTCAAGAACATGTAGGCCAATGCGGGAGGCAAGATGGATGTTTTGATGTAGACATGTATCTAAAAAGGGCAGTTGCTATGGAAGGTATCAAATAGTTAAGGGGTTCTCAGGAGGGAGAGCTGCTTTTGTCTAGGACAACTGTGGGTGGCATCATGGGAAAGTAAACACCAAGCTGAGCCTCGAAGCATGGATGGATTTCAGGGCACCCGGACATGGCACCACACAGGTGCAATCCCAGCAGTGGGTAGGCTAGCACGAAACCGAGTCTGAGGCCAGCCCGGGTTATACTGGGAGACCCTGTCTCAAAATAAAACACGAAACAAATAAACGCATTGGAAGGTAGAGGGACAGAGGAGCCTCCTCATGTAGATGGCTTGCTCCCTCCCTAGACCCGCCAACCACCACCAGCCCGCTGATTCTCACGGGAGCTGTAGTGGCAGCCCTGACACTGAGTCTCCTCCTGATGTGCGGAGTCCTGATTCTAGGTATGGGCACCCAGCTTGCATGGCTGATGCAGGCTGACCCTTCCCTACCAGGCTTGCGATGGGCTTTGTGCTTCTAGGGTAAATGTGGCTGACTCCGGGGCCCTTATCCCCACAGAGCAATGGTAGACTTCTCTACGCTTCTAGGAGAAGCCGAGGAGACATGGGAAGAAAGCGCATTTGAAAAGACTTTTTGGAAAGGTGTTCTGGGTGCGGGGAAGCAGAGTGGGCCTGATGGACAGGCAGAGGGCATCCCTGTGTTCTTCTCACCCGCAAGTGAACCAGAAGAAGTGGTGGAACCTGCAGGGGACCAGGCTGCCAGGCCCCGAGCTTGAGCTGAGCAAGCTTCACACCTCTGCTATCAAGACAGCCCCCAATCCCTACTACCGTCAGATGGGGCTCAGCCCTGCCCCGTCCTGGCCTCTGCCCCCAGGGCTCACCGAGGTTTCCCCAGCCAACGTCACTCTGCTCAGGTGCGTCTTCTATCTCCTCCTGAGATGGTATACACCCCGACCCCCCTCTCCATCCTTCTTCCTCTCACGGTGCATGATGGCTCCCAGAGAACATCCAACTCAAACCCGATGCAGAGGAGATGGAGACCCCATGAGCTCCAAAAGATGGAAGTTCTGAGGTGCAGAGACCGGGAACATCTCCCAGTGTATTAGCACAAGCAGAGGCCTGATTCCACATTACCACCCTGTCTCAGGCCCCGCCTGCCCTCTCTTCTGCCTGTGAACATCTGTGGCCCCAGAGTGTTCAGACAGGGTCATTTGGGGCATATCGGGTAGGAACCAGAGATGGAGGGGCACTAGTCCCTCTATAGGACTTGTGCATGTCATCCACTCCCTTCCAACTTGTCTTCTTGTAGAGCCCTTGGCCATGGTGCCTTTGGGGAGGTGTATGAGGGACTAGTAGTTGGTCTTCCTGGGGACTCCAGCCCTCTGCAGGTGGCTATCAAGGTAAGAAGGGGCAGGGCTTCCGGTTGGGTAGGTACACGGAGGGAGGGGCGGACGGATGCTAGAGCCTTTGTTAATCAGCCTCCTAAAGCACCTGCAAAGCTCAGGAATGCTCCGCTCCCTCTCCAGACTCTGCCAGAGCTCTGCTCCAATCAGGATGAGCTGGACTTTCTCATGGAGGCTCTCATCATCAGGTACAAAGGAGGACAGGCGGGAGGGTGTGGCGGGAGGCGGGACCTGCCTGCAGGAATGGCCTTTCCTCTCTTCGAGGCTGAGAGGCAGCCTTCTAAGGGCACAGAGGTTTTCTGCAGTTTAACGGGGTCTAGAACACGCTCATCTCCCCGCTGGTGACGGGGTATGTGCGCCGTTTCCATTCAGCAAGTTCAGCCATCAGAACATTGTGCGCTGCGTGGGGCTCAGCTTCCGGGCTGCCCCTCGCCTTATTCTGCTAGAGCTGATGTCTGGAGGGGATATGAAGAGTTTTCTAAGGCTTAGCAGACCACAGCCGGTAAGCCCCCTCTCTGACTCCCCAGAGCCCGCTAAGACCTTGGCCCTCTGTCTTAAGATCTGGATCAACTGGGATACCTTTTGCCCAATCCAGGGCCAGCCGTCACCTCTGACCACGTGGGACCTACTGAAGTTGGCCCAGGACATAGCCCAGGGCTGTCACTACCTGGAGGAAAATCACTTCATCCACAGGTCAGAAGCAATCTCAACTCAGGAAACTGTCACATCCCTCATATACACAAACTTCTAAAGAAACGTATCAGAACCAGCTCTGAGTTCTGGCATGACTATTGTCTTTTGTGTTGTTGTTGTTTTAAATTTTTATTATTTATTTGATGAACATTGGTGTTTGACAGCGTGTATGTCTATCTGAAGGTATCAGATCCCCTGGAAGAGGAGTTACAGTTGTGAGCTGCCATGTAGTTGTTGGGAATTGAACCCAGGTCCTCTGGAAGAGCTGTCAGTGCTCTTAACTGCTGAGCCATCTCTCCAACCTCAATAATTGTCTTTTCTACAGAGACATTGCTGCCCGTAACTGTCTACTGAGCTGTACTGGACCCAACAGAGTGGCCAAGATCGGAGACTTCGGAATGGCAAGAGATATCTACCGGTGAGTAGGAACTGGGGAGGTGGGAAAGCTGCTCCTAGGAGACAGGCTTGACAGCATGTGAAAACCCGACACCTCTCTTTCTCCTTCATACAGTGCCAGTTATTACCGCAAGGGGGGCCGGGCCTTGCTCCCAGTCAAGTGGATGCCCCCGGAAGCTCTCCTGGAGGGCATTTTCACATCCAAGACAGACTCCTGGTGATAGCATGGCCTCCCTTGTGCTCCTTTCCTCTACCCTAAAGCTAATCCTATCCTTTGAGGCCACCTCTGTGACAGCAGGGGAGGCTGCCATGACGGATCTCACTTGTCCCTCTGATGTAGGTCTTTTGGGGTCCTGCTCTGGGAGATCTTCTCACTGGGTTTTATGCCCTACCCTGGGCATACCAACCAGGAGGTTCTAGACTTCATCGTCACGGGGAACCGGATGAACCCTCCTCAGAACTGTCCTGGGCCAGTGTGAGTTAATGGTGCTGCCTGGGGAGGGAGGTCCCTCAAGATTTGGGGAGGCATAAGCCCCTGCCTCTCCCCAGTTACCGAATCATGACCCAGTGTTGGCAGCACCAACCTGAGCTCCGGCCTGACTTTGCCAGCATCTTGGAGCGCCTTCGCTTCTGCACTCAGGTGTGGCCCCTTCAGCTCCCACATATGCCTTTGGTCCCCTCTAACTATCCTGGTTCTATAGGACAGAAGCCATAAAAGAGCCAAAAAGGTCCCTATTGCCCAACTATCCCACTACAGGACCCTGATGTGCTGACCTCACCCCTGCCAGTGGAACCAGGGCCCACTCTAGAGGAAGAAGCAGCTTCCAGGCTGGAGAACAGGGCTCTGGAGGGTCTGAGAGCCCCACAGCCCCTGGAGCTGAGTTCAGAGAACTTGAAAAGCTGGGGAGGAAGCCCTGGCGCTTGGCTGCCCTCTGGTCTCAAGGCCCTCAAATCCAGACGTCTCCGACCTCAGGACCTCTGGAACCCCACCTATGGCTCCTGGACCCCAAGGAGCCCCAAGGGTGAAGACTTGGGCGTTGACCTCAGCAATGGCTCCTCCTTGCATTCTTTTCCAGGCATCCAGTAGCCTCTACCCCCTGCAGTCTGTGCTGCGTGTTCAGGCATGTTTCAGGGCTGTCCTGGCAGCCTGGCCCGTCCACACTGGAAACCAGTCTAAACCCTATGGGGAAGCGCCTGGGCCACACCTACCTACTGCGGGGGTCAGTTGGAAATCCTGGACTGTCCTCTCCCCATATGTATCTTCCCTTTGACCTATCCCAGTATTACAAATGATGATGATGATGATGATGATGATGAAGAACCTTCTAATTCTTCAGTTCTATGAGTGGATGTGAGAATATGGAACAAGGACAAGAGGACCAGGGGTGACGGGGAGGAGGCTTGAGGCACAGAAGCCGAGGCTTTGAGTTTTATTAGGAAGGGTGTCCTCGGTAGTGTAGGAAGTTAGGCCAGTAATTCTATACACCTGTGAAGTACAACTCCAGATCTGGCCCCTCTAGAGAGGTGTGAAGCCACTTGAGAAGAGCTGGGGTGGGGGAGAAGCCCACGGTTTCCTTCCCCTCCTATAAATTAGTGTCATTGAGCTCTGGGAAACAGGCTTGTGTGGAGGCCAACTCCTGGTGTTGGCAGTGTGCCCCCTTAGTGGATGGCACCTGGCCCTGCAGGACCGTGTGAACCGCCCGCCCAGCGGGGTTCCAGTCTCTTGCCGGCATGCAGGGTGGGGACGCAGCCACAGGTCCACATCTGTCTGACCAGCCGGCCCAAGCTGGGGGAAAGGGCCCTGCCTCATCTCTCAGCCAGGCTGGCCAAGATGCCAATGAGATTGTCCAGCCCCAGCAAATAGCCGTCCTCACGATTGCCCTCCTCCCAGGGCCGCCGATGATCCAGGATCTGGCCATCGGGGAGGGGCGTGGTCTTGCCAAAATCGATGAGCCACACACCAGCACGATGGCAATGGTCATGCACGAAGAGGAGTGAGCTGCCAATCACCTGCCGAACCCCATGGCAGTCAGGCCACCCGCCTTCCCCAGAGTCCCCCGCCTTTTCCGTTCTCCACTCCATAAAGCGCGAACCCAGCCCCTGAGCCCACCCACCTCTTACCTCATGCCTTCTGAAGAAATCTGAGATCTCCAGGGTGTCCCTGATCTGCTGCAGGCGGTTCAGGTACCTCCTCTGGAAGAGTTAGGGTGGACAGATTACTTTCCCACCGAGGGCGGCTTTGCTGCGCCATGCATTTCCGCTTGCCTGATACCGCGGTGAGGAAGAGCCCCACCCACGTGGCTCGCATAGGGGAGGAAAAAACAAAACAATTACAGTACCGTGAGGGAAATGCCACCCCTGCGAGTGGCATAGTTGAGGGCGCTAGAAAGAATGACCAAGAGGCACCCTCGTAGAGGGGTGCACCCAAACCTCAGGGTCCCAGAAACCTCCCCTCACTCACCAGCACTTCGGCATCTCCCTGCATGAACTCCTCAAAGACACGCGTCACTTGCTCTCGGCTCCGCGTCGTTTTGAAATCAGTGCTGCACGATCCGTCGGCTTTCTGAAGGAGGTGGGCAAGGAGTGTCAGGGACCCGGACCCATCTGAGGGGAGAGAGGATCATGCAAAGGGCAATGGCCCCTCCCTGGGGCCTTAACCTCTGGGGACCAAGAGATGGCTACCAGAGCGCGCGCTCTCGGCTCCTGGTGGAGGCTGAGGCTAAGTAGGCCCGGAAACGGAAGGACGCGCTCAAGTCCGGGCAGGAGAAGGGCCATGCAGAGCCGGGGTTTGCCCAACCCACCTTGATGCCCTCAATGCGGAAGCCGAGCGTAGTGCTGGAGCTGATGCCTTCGCGCCACTGCATGTAGCGTGGCTTGGTGACCGCGCGCTGCGCATGCTCCTCCTCAGTAGGCGCCTCAGGGTCCACTGCCAGCATCTTCTTGTACATGTCCTTCCGCAGCTTGGGCCTCTCTCGGGCTTTGGTCAGCTCCTCCTCTAGGTAAGTTCTGTGAGGCGCAGGCCGGGGCCGGTGCATGAAGGCATGCACACAGGGACCCCCATCTGAGCTTTTCTCCCAGTTCCTTGGTCCCCCCCACCCCCATTCTGCCCGACCAAGGGAGGGGACACAAACCTGACGCCCATCTTGCAGTCAAGCACACAGGGCCCATCAAAGCCATCGAGCAGGTCCTGTAACTGCAGGTAGCTCTCGCCATCCCGCTCCACCACGCCGTGGAAGGCTGGCACACACCCGCGCAGTACGTCGGCCATCAGGCGCACCAGACAGTAGTGTTCCGGCTCGGAGCTCCGCTTCAGGATCAGGCCACTGGTGCCCGCAGCTTTGAAACTCCCTGCGGAGGGGCACCCGTTAGAAGGGCCCAGCAATTTTCTGTCGCAGCGACCTCACCCGTTTGCACCGGTGCTCACCTGTGTGCCCTGCCAGCTGCACCCACGAGTAGCGCCTTTTGAAAGGGCTCATGACCGGCAGGTTGACCATGGTCCGGATCTTCTGCCAGTGGCTTTTCTGAAAGCAGGGCTGCGCGTCAGCGTCTCAGTAACCTGTAGGCCCTCCCCATCTCACGCAGAAATTCAACCTGACTCTACCTCACGAGAAGCACTGAAGGTCTTTCATGCAGGCATTCGCTGCTCACTCACTCACCCACCCACCCACCCACCCAAAGAAAATGCACGCTGAGTCAGTGCGGCAGGTACTGAGACAGGCGGAGAAAAGGTCGTTCTAGCTTCGCAGATAGTCTGAAGGGAGCCCTGGATTTAGCATCAGAAGCCTCAGGGTTGAAACTAGCTCTGCCATTGGATGGGCAGGTGACCGGATTGCTCAGCCAAGGCTTTTGAACTTGGTGAATATCAGAGTCACTTGATGGCCAGCCTTGAAGCTGATTCTGACATCTACCACAGAGATGGAACTAAAAATGTGCCTATCTACCAAGGCCTCGGGAGGCCCAAGGAAGATGCTTCTGGGAAGAGGGGAGACGGCTTCTCTTTCAGCGCTATTGGAATGAGGGACGCTCGAGTCTGACTCTCCTCATTCCTTGGCATGGAGAGAATTGGGCCAAATTAAGATACAGGATTTACTCGCTTGGGACCTAGTTCTCTCACTTAGGAGAGCAGACCAACCACAGTCAACCCTTACCACAGGGGTCAGGGAAGGGAGGCCAGCCTGCCAGGGCTTGAGGCGCCCCAGGACTCTGGCTGCCCTTAGATCCCACACGCATCTTCCTAGCAAACAAAGCCAAAAGCCCAAGGCACCCACGGTTGTGATCTGGATGGAGAAACCTACAGCCTGAAGCTGAGATGAAAAGCTGAAGGCCTGGTTTCTTCGATAAAACTGCAGGTAAATGCAGCTATGGTGGGCGTTGTCTCTTGTCCCCTAGCCATTACTCTGGCTTCTCCTCAATTCTGAGAGCGGCTCACACTTTGGACCTTCCCACCTCCTACCCCAAACTCAGAAGTCCTGCATCTGCTCCCTGAAGTGCAGGGATTTGCTCCTGTGTCTTGTCTGCGGCCTTGTCCCACGGACGCCTGTCTGACAGAGGAGTTCCTAGAACCCAGGAACAAGCGTCCTTGCTGAAACGGACCGCTAAGAAATGAGGTAGCTTAAGTGGAAGAAGTAAGTCTATTGAGCAGAAAGCCTTGCCTGTGGGGAAGAGGCAGGGCTGGTGATAACGCGCTGGGTAGGAGTGAGCAGTCACTTAGCGCAGTCCTGGCTGGCTCCTTTTCACTTTCTAGCTCAGTGGGTCCAGGCAAGTGCTGTTTCCTCCATGAGGATGTAGCGGCTGCCCTAACACGAGCCACCATTTCCTGACTGCCTACCGCATGCCAGGCACCTTCTCATCTTCCCACAGGCATCCCTGCTCTCACTTTCCCAACAAGGCACACTAGGGCGTGATCACATGTCCAATTCCCAGGGATCTGGGGGTGTAGCCAGAAGCAGCCCACTAGAAACATGACATCTTTCAAAACTCCTTTTATAAAGCTTTAAATACATACAAGGTTTGCATTTTGCTGCATAATGAATTTCAGTTTTCTTATAAAACTCCCCTCCTCCCAAATCCTCAAGTAAAATTCCAGGAAGGTGATGTCTGTAGTGTGTATGTTCAGCACATGAATCCTCGACCTCCTCTCTCACACTCACCTTGAGAACAAAGACGGTCATGATGCTCCCACACAGCACGGGTATGAGCTGCTATCAGTCCCATCACACAAGGAAGCCAAGGCTCAGAGAAGTTAGCATCCTCACATCCTGCTTCTAGAACCCCAGGCTACGGCTTATGCTCTCTATCAGCCCAACTTCCTCCCACGATCCAATCATTCCAGCCGTTTTTTGTATTTTCCTCCGGGGGGGGGCGGGGGGGCAAATGGGATATCACCTGACAGGCAGCTTTTACAGGGTGAAACAATTTACAGCTGTAGGGTGCTGTGAAGGCTTTAATCTCCGAGATGGACCTGGGCATCTCCCCCTTCCGCCTTTATCCAAAGGATGGATTTAATGGTGAAAGGCTTGGGTGGTTGAAAAGCCTAACAAAATTTTTGGGGAGAGTGGGGCAAGAATGAACTTAGCCAGGGTACATCTAGTTCTGTAGTCATCCTGGTGGGAGGACCAGCTTGGGCTGTGGAGGAAACTGCACCATCCTTCCTTTTGGGGTTTTGTGATTTCCTGAAGAGATTTAAGGTGGAAGAGGAGTCCCATTGAAGTGGGCTGATTGCACATGGCTGTAGTCCTAGCTACTTGGGAAGCTGGAAAAGGAAGACTGTGTGAACCCAGGAGTTTGAGGCCTGCCTCTTGTCCCTAAGCTGATAGGAAATAGATCACTTACCCACTCTCCCTGCCTTGCTTCTGTGAGTCTCACATGAGCAAACAGCAGTAGATTCTAACTGAGGGTAACAAGGGGCTTTGACGCCCATTATCTGAGCAGCACCTCCCAGACAACTGAAGTTTCTTATAACAAAATGGAGCTCCCTTGCCAATCACAGATACGGTCAAACGTGAAACCCAGGTGATGCAAACGGCGCGGAAGCCAAGTCGCCGCCATCTTCCCTCCTTAGCATGATTCCTTCTGCAGGGAACATGGTGCACTCACAGAAGAATGCATCCAAAAAGCCTGCTAGGGAGTCAATCTTGGGTTGGTGGGTGGTGAAGATTTTGGCTCATAAACAACAGGAAAGACATGGTAAAGCCCTCCTTCCGTAGTAAAGAGGCTGTTTCCACCAACCAACACACAGCCATAGGCTACCTGGACATTTGGTGCAAAGGCCAAGAAACCTGCACCCAGGACCCTCTGATGCTGACGCAGGAGGAGCCTGATAATTTCTCATCCCTACAGATGAGGAGAAAGTGTGTCTCCCTAGGTAGGGCCCTGTTGTGTCCTAGCCTTAGACCCTCCCTTGTCTAAGCTCTGTTTGGAAGCCTTCAGGACGTCACCCCAGACACCAACCCAGGCAGCCTGTTTCCTACCAGACTACATCCTTTGCTTCTGTCTTTAGTTCCCATCTTGTTCCCTGCCTCTACACAGAGGTTCTCAACATGTGTGTCATGACCCCTTCGGGTGCGGGTGGAGGGGCAAACAAATCTTTCACAGGGGTCATCTAAGACCATCAGAAAACACAGATATTTGCATCATGGTTCATAACGGTAGCAAAATTACAGTTATGAAGCAGCAACAAAAGTACCTCCATAGTTGGGGTCACCACAACATGAGAACATGCTTTAAAGGGTCACAGCATTAGGAAGGTTGAGAACCACTGACCTATAGAGCCATCAACGCCCGGCTGAAATTTCTGCCAGCCCAACACCCTCCCCATGTTCCAATTGTCCTATCAAGCTAGCACTCCCTGTGGTGATGGTGGGGAGAGCCAGCAATTTAAATTTACCGAGTGATTTGCACTAAGGTATAAGTGACCCACGACTTCACCTTCCCATGGGCATCTGCTTTTTAAAAAGGAAGTCTGTTAACCTAAATTCTGCTCTATAATTAGTGGGAAATGATGTGTGGGGGTTCTGAGTCCAGGAGGGGACAGCATTCAGGTTTTCCTACCTAGTCTGAGTTACTGAGAGAATAAAATCAGATGAATAAGAACAAAAAGGCCCTCTCTTCTGCTAGGGTCACCCCCACAATTGTCTTGGAGTAGGCCTCCTGTTTCTTCCTTGGTTTGCTCAGCTTTTCTTATTTCTGAATGTTCCCTCTATCAGAGAAAAGGAGGCTGGAGGGGAGCAGCGCTGCCCAGCTCTACCTGCCCTGCTATGAGCAGGCTGTACAAGGGCCTGGAAGTAAAGGCAAGGTCACAGAGGCTGGCTGAGGCAGGCAGAGCCTTCTGGGGTCTGGGGTGTGCGGTGCCTGGCATTTAGAGTCATCCCTGGAGTGCAGCCACGAGGTGCCTCCGTAACAGTAACAGTCAGCAGGACCGCTCTGCTTCCTGCCTGGGGAAGCCCTTAAAGGCGGCAGGGGCAGGCGCGCTGTGAGGCAAAGTCCGATCCTGGCCCTTCCACGCAGACGCAGGCAGCCTCTGTCAACAGCTCCAGGCTTATCTGCAGCTCCGGGGCTGTTTGCCTTCGGGGAGGCCCCGGCGTGCTGGGGGTTGGGAAGGCCTGAAGACAGCTTGAGGGTTTCAAAGGGCCCGGAGAGGCTCTCTGGAACCGGTCCTGGAGGCTCCCCGAGACACGGAGGCCCAGGGTGGAAGAGGAGGACGAGCACTTGCAGGGAACGGCTAGCTTCAGCCTCTCCTCGGTGTCCTGGCCCCTGCCGGGGCTGCCTACACTGCACCCAGATTTACGCTAAGGGTCCTCCTTCGCGCGGCCTCTCCCCGAGCGTTTAGACGCGTCCTCGAAGGCAAAACAGGAAAGCGAGAGTGCCTGGCGTCCCAGCCCGGGTCCTCCCAGCTCTTATCGGTCGCACCCTTCCCAGGGGCCCGCCTCTCGGATGTCAGAGATTGGAGCAGGGGAGTGGCCGATCTGCGGCTCCCGCTCCGCACAGGTCCTCCTCCTGCTCACAAGCCTCGGTCTTGGGGAGGGGGAGGAGGGTCTCGGCGACCTTCGCCTCGTTGCCTAGTCTAGAGTCGCCCCGAGAACGACCACCCGCCCGGGGGGACGCTGACTCGCCAGGGCAAAGGGCGCAGCGAACTGGAGACTGAGCCCCGACACGCACACCTGGCGACAGGGAGGGGGAGGGGCGGCACTGCACCCTCGCCGGGAGCCCTCCCCACCCCCCGTGTCAGCCCCTCTCTGGGTACCGTAAGTCTCTGAGTCACAACGCCGCTGCCTCCCTCGCTCGCTCCAATCCCAGCGTGCAGGGAGGGATGCCGGGTTCCAGAAGGCCCGGGACACACCTCGGGGCCTTTCTCAAGGCCTCAGGACCACACGGGCATTACGCTCAGGTCTCACTCTGGAAGTCCAGTCTCCAGGACCCCGCCTTCTGGGCAGGGCTGGGGGGTCCTGGAGGCAGAGCGCCCTGGCGTTCCCGGGCTCTCTCCACTGGAGGAACGCTCTCGTAAAAACGCATCGAGGGCAAGGCTGCACGAGGTCCCAGGCAGCCCGCTCAGGGATCTGGCCGTGGTTCAGACGAGGGAGACGACTGGAGCGGGCCGGGCGCAAGTTCAAGGCTTGAAGGGGGCTACAGGCTGTGCTTCGTTCTAACTTGGCAATTCGGTACCGCCCTGTCTCGAGGTAAAGGGGGCCCGCGGATGTGTGTAACTCGGCAGCGGTGTGCGTGCCTACCGTGTTCAGTCTCCAGGAGAGGGGTGCGTGGTGAGGACCGGGCCAGACCACAAAGAACGACCTCACGCTGGCCCGTGTTGCCTGAGGGCTGGGTCGGCCCCAAGAAACGCCCACACTGTCAGAGGCTGAGACTACCAAGCTCCTGTCAGCCTCAGTTTACCTTCCCCCACGGCACTCGGCAGCGGTTGGCCAGGGCGGGGGAGGGGGCGCAGCAGGTGGGTCTCGGTTCCGCTCGGTCCCCGTCCCGGCGCCCCTCCCTCCCCGCGTCCACGCCTCCCAGGCGCGCGCGGGGAGCAGACGGCAGCGGCTGCGGAGCCGAGCCAGGAGCTCCGCTCCACTCCCACTCAGGAGAGGGAAACCGTGGCAACGGCGGGGGTGGGGCCGCGGCACCGAGGGGGGGGAGGAGAGAGCTCACGCGTCTCTTTCTCCCCAGGGCTCCCGGGCCAAGGCTCCCCGGCTCTGAGCTCTCCAAACCCTGACGGTTAGCCCCGGTCCGCCCGCCGACCCCGCCCCGTGGGGCGCCTGCTCCCCACCCCCCCTTTAGACGCCCAAACGCTCAGCTACCGTCGCCCGCCTGCCCCCCCCCCCCCAGGCGGGAGGCCGTCCTGGGGTCCCCCTCCGCCCCCGGGCTCCTCGGACCCTTCGGCGGGGCACCCCGGCCGGGTCCCTCCCCGCCCCCCGCGGCGAGCTGCCCCCGCCGGCCCCGCCCCCGCGGCCCGTACCTGCCCCACGTCCTCGCTGGCTTCCAGCTGCACGTTGCCGCGGCTCCGGCTCTCGCTGTCGCTCAGCAGATCGTCCTCCGAGTCCTCGAGCGGCGACGAGGAGCCGGTGGAGGAGAGGGACGAGGTGGAGGGGCGGCGCGGCTGCTGCAGGTGCGAGCCCGCGGCCGGGAGCCAGGCCCCCTCCCGCTCGGGCGGCCCGGGGCTGGCCGGGGCCACGTCGTCCTCGGTGG